AATTTGGCGCTAAGCGCTGCGATTGGACGCGGCGGTGCGGAGGCAGACCAATGGGCAAGGAGCGAGGGCGGGCAGGGGCGGAGCTAGCGGGGAGGGCGCGGGCTCCGCGGGGCGGGGGAGGGCGGGGTGGCGGGCTTCCCGTGCACCTGGGGCGCTTTCTCAGGGTCCTCACCGGGGACATAGTAACAAGGGTGGAAATGGGACATGGTCTCACTGCCGCGAAACCCGTCTCGCCTCCTTTTCTTTAAGGACAAACACAGTTGTACACAATATGCGACTCATTGCTGGAAGGTTTGGAAATTTTTAAAGTTCCCATAGCTCCCCAATGATAACCGATTATTACAAGCAATCTCTTGTGTCCTTTCCCAGCTATGCAGGTACTAGTCTCTTTCAAAAACACACTAAAAAAGCATGGTATGCACATTGTTCTGTATTTTGTGTTCTCTGCTTCCTTCGTCCCGTGGACATTAATCTTGAGCACACGTTCCCCTTTCACTTTCTTTTTGATGGCTGCAGAGCATTCGATTTGAGAAACCATAATTTCCTTAATCACGACTATTGCTATCCATTTATACTGAGGTTCCCAGTATTTGCCTCTTAGAAAACAAATTCTCCAATTGTGCCTTACAACAAGAAGGGCTTCTAAAATAACCACAGGATTGCCTCCTAGAGCCACCTTCCGGGGGGGGGGGGGGGGGGGGGGGAGGGCACTCCTGTAGAACATGAAATGGGTTCATCGTTGCTTTAAAATGAATTGACAAATGAACTTTGAAGCTTCCTGCTCCTGAGGGGTAAGTCAGAGATGGACCGCCTTCAGGAATATGGAATCGATCCTAGGAAGGAAACGTGAATGTGTAGGACCTCCAACTCCTAATTGTCTGGGACAAGGCTGATGTAGGTAACTCGAATGCATGGATGCTATTAACCTTCTTTAGGGGATTAGTTTCCATTTCCTCCCCCTTTATGCTACCGCAGAAAGCGCATCTCTGAACCACCCCAGAAAACGCCACTTCTGTCACTCTAATTACTGCTTCCTATCAGGGACGGCTCTGTGACCTTGCTGGGGCAGCCTAATTAGAACGGGGAGGTGCTGAACTTCCTGTCAAATCATCTTACACACACTCCGAAGTACACGGAGTCAGCGCTCTAGACAGAGCAGGAGTTACAGGAAGACTTAGGGGGTTGGCAAAGTGCCAGACCCGCAGGACAGTCCCCTTAAACCGTTTGGTGGCCTACCTCAGCGGTGGGGCTTTCAGCTGGGTTTGAAGCTTGGCTCACAACCTAAGATTTCTTTGAAAACGCAGATGTCACTCCTGTGAGGAGAATCCCACGCCCCATCTGCAGGGCTGGCATCTGGACCCCCAGCCCCGCTCCAACACCATCAGAGTCTCGAATAGAGTGTAGAGTGGGGACCCCGTTAGAGCAACGGGCACCCCAGATGGGCAGGAAAAGGCATTGGCCTCAGGGCTTGTCAGGGTATCCCCTGTCGGATGCTCATAGTGCTCACACACCCGCGGTCAAATCAATCAGGCCAAGAAAGTGTCTCCAGGGGACTTCCCTGTCCTTGGACCCCTTCTCCTTGTGCCTCCCCCCTGCCACCTTCACTTGCCTGAAATTTACTTGGGGAGGGGCACCTGGGCGGCTCACTCTGTTAAATGTCCAACTCTTGATTTCGGCTCAGGCAGTGATCTCATGGTTCCTGAGTTCGAGCCCCACACTGGGCTCCGTGCTGATGGTATGGAGCCTGCTTGGGATGTTCTCTCTCTCTCTCTCTCTCTCTGCCCCTTCAGCTCTCTCTCTCCCTCTCTGTTTTTCAAAATATATAAATCAACTTTAAAGAATTAAATTCTTGAAATCCACTTGGAGGATGGCTCCAGGCATCTAATAAGGGACCATTTGACAATCCTTTTCAGTTCCACATCCATCCACTTGATGAGAAGGTGTATTTCTATTATGGGGTATATGTTTAAAAGGTATTTACCACCTTTGAAATGCGTGTGTTGTTTGGTCATCTGTGTTCCAGTAAATAGTATATTCTGTGATCTCTGACACTTCATCCAGGAGAAAAGGTGGGGGGAGGGCGGTACAGGGCAGGTAGGTCCAGGCGCCCCTCCCCGGGCAGGCTGCGCCCCCATAAGTGTGGTCGGTCCTGGCTGAGTCTCACCCCGGCACCCCGGGAACTGCCCTTGCCAGGTGCTCCAAGCCCACAGGCGCCCTCAAGGCTGCAGGAAGAGGTCATGGTACCAACCATCACCGGAACTGCTGTCTTCCTTCCTAACTTCTCTTCCCTTCCAGGTCTCTTAATCACATCCCTCCTCCAGCCAGCTTTCTAGTTTCCAGGGCAGAGGAGGGCCTTACAGTGGGGGTAGTAACAGCACAGGTGGCCAGGGGTGGGGCTGGGATCCTTCTGAAATGGATCTGGCATGTTCTTCCCTCTCACAGGTCAGCTACACCCCTGAGACCCTGGAGACCCCTAGACATCCACTGGCCGTCAGCTTCAGCCACGACACCCAAGCACTGACCCAGCCCCAGGCCGCTTGCTTGGCTTCAACCACCAGCTGTAAAGCTGGGCTATCTCCCCAGGGCCCCCAAGGCCAGGTGTGCCCAGCCCCCTGAGCCAGACCCCAGTTGCCTCTCACCCAGCTCTTTGGCCCGCATTCCGCAGGTGGGTGGGCAGGTGGCCTATGGTGTTGGGAGGCCCCTGACTCCCCAACCTCTTCCCACACTGGGTCACCTGGGCCTTTCTTCCTGGCTTGTCAGGGAGGCCAGTTCCATCTACGCCCCAGCACGTGTGTGGGACCACAGCTCAACGTAGTCCTTACGCTCCACTAACCCGGAGAAAAGAGGAACCCGAACACTGATCTCTGCTCTCTGAGTTTAGAAAAAGAAACTGGGACAAAGTATGATATCGAAAAACATGAAAGAAATTTTGAAAAACTTAAAAAAATGTTTATTTAATTTCGAGAGGCAGAGAGAGTGTGCACATGAGCAGGGCGAGGGGCAGAGAGAGAGAGGGAGAGAGAGAGAATCCCAAGCAGGCTCTGAGCTGTCAGTGAGAGCCCGACACGGGGCTGGATACCGACCACGAGATCATGACCTGAGCCGAAATCAAGAGTTGGATGCTTAGCCAACTGAGCCACCCAGGCACCCCGAAAAACTTCTTTTTTATCAAGAAGCTAATACTATATGCTGTCATGATAGAATATTTGGATAATATACAAATGTAGAAGGAAGAAAAATTTGCCCTAAGATAAAGAACAACAAAAAAAGCAATCACGTTTTTTTGTCTCTGTAATGTTTATTTTGCATAATAAACATATCTGTGTGTACCCATACCTTTTTTAAAAATTTAAATTCCAGGGGCGCCTGGGTGGCGCAGTCGGTTAAGCGTCCGACTTCAGCCAGGTCACGATCTCGCGGTCCGTGAGTTCGAGCCCCGCGTCAGGCTCTGGGCTGATGGCTCAGAGCCTGGAGCCTGTTTCCGATTCTGTGTCTCCCTCTCTCTCTGCCCCTCCCCCATTCATGCTCTGTCTCTCTCTGTCCCAAAAATAAATAAACGTTGAAAAAAAAAATTTAAAAAAAAAATTTAAATTCCAGTTAGTTAACATACAGTGTACTATTGGTTTCAGGAATAGAATTTAGTGATTCATCATGTACATACAATACCCAGTGCTCATCACAACAAGTGTCCTTGAATGGGTAAAGATGTGCTATCTATCTATCTAGATACACAAATGGAATATTACTTGGCAATCAAAAAGAATGAAATCTTGCCATTTACAACAGTGTGGATGGAACTAGAGTGTATTATGCTAAGTGAAATATGTCAGAGAAA